GTTGTAAAATTCTCTCCCTTCTGTGATTGCCACTCCAATAAAGTTTGGATTCCTTTGTAATCCCATCCCTTCTGCCAAGAAGTCATAAACCACCCGTTTCTCCATTTCTCCTCCCATCTCCTTGTACCGTGAACCACCAATTTCTCCTCCCATTCCCTTGTGTAGTCAATGTTATAAAAGTCGTGGTCTTCCTGTGCATAATTTCTCCTCTCATTCCCTTGTGTAGCCAGTGTTATAAAAGTCGTGGTCTTCCTGTGCATGACATGGTTGGTTTTGCTTACGCTTGGAGGCATGAATTCAGTCTGCCTTTTATTTAGCTAAATAAAACGGCAACCATTTGAATTCTCTCTCATGTCAGGGTTATTGGCATTAAAACTTTGACTCGCTATTGCAGTAGACTAGCTTTTGGTTTCAACAACAGTTTGTTTCCTGTTTGTATTTGATTGTTTCTCTTCACAGTTTGCTTTAAAATCCTCCTGTCATTTGCCATCTTACAGGTCCTTAAACAGATAAAAAAGTGGCACATTTAAAAATAATAATAATTTAAAGGCTCCTATCCTCAAAATGTTGTAAAATACAGCTGCTATGAACCTCTGCCCACTAATTTCCCAAGGAACATAGAGGAGAGGAATCATTCAAACAAACAGAATGTTTTCTGTGCTCAGCTACCTACTTTCTTCCACCCTACACCTCCCCATTCATCAATCACATCCACACAGTAGCAATCTCCTTGCCCAGCTAATTCAGCACCGGGCACGCCTACAGATACACAAGAACGTATAAGGAATTCCATTTTCTCTCCCAAACAAAATTTCCAGCATACCTTGGAATTCCCTATCTCAACCTTCTGAATTGATTAGACTCCCATTATTTTATTGGTACAAAACCATTGCCTTCTTCCTGACATCGAAAGCAGGATTTCTGTCTTGAAAGCAGCTATTGTTCTTTTTAAACATGAAAACAATTTAGGAATGTGGAAGCTTGCATTTGGCTAGGCCTGGCCCTGAGGATGTCTTTGCTCTTGTCCCACAGCTCCAAGCTCCTTTGTGTAGAGGATTTATAGCCCTAAGGCAGAAGCCCATCTGCAGGCTGGAGAGGGCACCCATTGTTTCTTCCCCACCCCACCCTGCCCTGCCTGGCCCCACATGTGTGTAGACCCCCCCCAACTTTATTCTGTCTCTAACTTTTAAAAAAATGAGTCCAGCTACAGATGGGCAGTAAAAGGCAAGCAGCTAGAAATCCAGAGCAGACAACAGCAGAAAGGTGGGAGAGAAAGGAGGAGGCAGCAGAAGGAGATGTCTGTTGAAGGCACAACAGCTGGGGGTTGAGGAATAGCAAGATCCATGAACTGAAATCACTGCTGCAGCATAACATTAATAGGCCTCAACAGCATGCCGCATGTGATGCAGACAGCATGCCAGAGATGAAAAGGAGGAGTCAAGCAGGCCTGCCAGGTCTCCTGGCATCAGCTGAATTCTTGTGCTTCTCCAGATATCCAGACAGGGAGACAAAATTTAGGGCAAACGGGACTGTGGGAGAAAACAGACTGGATTTTGGGGTGTAAAGAAGTTTTAGAGCAGTCTGGGCACGTCCCTCTGAGCATTTTTAAGCCCCCCCCCTTGAAAAATATCCCTTTAAAAAAATTCCTCTTTGTAAGTTTGCAATGCTCATATAAAGTAGAAAGTCCCGTAGAATGCAGAGGGTGGTACACATACATCCATTAACTCTCCCCTCAGTTCCTTCCCCTTACTCCCAGCTTCTTGGTAAGCTGATGTTGAGACCAGTGTGCCCTTGGGACCATGGCAGAGAGTGAGCACCAGTGTTATATTCCATGAGCTTTATAAGCTGCACTCGTCAACACAGCCATGGCAAAAGTGTGGAGAAGAACTCACTCTGAATTCTTACCTTCCCTCATGACTGTGATGTAGCAAGGACCTATCCCATAATACCATAAAAGATTGCCCTGTTGTTAGTAAAGAGGCTCTTGCTGTTTTGCCAGCCTAGGATCAAGTAGCCAGCACAGCTGGAAATATAAATGTGGTGTAAGGAAGACTAGATTTTCCCCTGTTATTGAGCAAGTGTGGGGGTGCAAGTTCCTCCCTCCATCATTTTAAGTAGCAAACTGTGCAGTTCTGTAAGGGTCTACTCAGAAATTACTCCTTTTGAGTTCAATGGGCCTTATTTTCATGTAGGTTTGCCTGCGATTTCAGCTACAGTCTGTTTTCTGTTTTATTAACTCTTCATATGGATTTTTGTTTTGTCATAAAAGTCATAATCAAATTGGACATTAAGAGGATTGTGTATTTCCTCCAACTGAAATCTTTTAACTCCAGTAACCACAGTTAATAACAGTAACAACATCAAAACCTTATTTGCCTCTTTTGTTTCTTCCTTCCGGAAGGAAGCTTTCAATTTATTTATTTTGACTGAAAAGCACAGTGGATCAGTGCTGCTGTCATAAGCTTTAAAAACAACAGTGTTGCTTCCTTCCTGTCCCCTTCCATGGAGGAGCAGAGGAAGTTTTAAATTTCACAATATCCTTATGTGGCTGAGCTCTCTTACTAAGCCATATGACAGTACTGGAAGATTGGATGCAGATTAGATATTGACAGCAAGTCATCTGCTTTTGGTTTGATCCCAACAATTGCATGTGCTGGAATCAAACCAAAAAGGAGCAATCCTACCCACACCTAAAATAATGCCCCCAACATGAACTCAAAATGGGTGTGGGTAGGAATGCTCTGGAGATGGGCTGGAACTCAAAATGGGTGTGAGGAACTCCAGAATGCTCTGGAGATGGGCTGGTTCACACCAGCACTACTTTGTATGGTCACTAGGAAAAGGAGTGAATGAGCTCGTTCCCAGAGCTGACTAAACAGCAGGACAAAGGCCTATGTAGTCACAGATTCTTTCCCTTTTTTCCCCAAGACAGGCAAGTATTTTTGTATGTCATTGAATAAGTGCGGAGGGGTGTAATTGAATTCTTCTAGTATTATCTGCTGCTGCAGTGGTAGTCCAGTGGAAAGAACACTGCTCTGTATTCTCCAAGCAGAATGGGGTTGGGGAGAGAATAATGATTGAATTCAAAGGGACATGATGTGGAGGAAGATAAAAGCTATGACTGTTGGAAAGGGAAATTAGGAGAAAATGAGCATTCGACAGACCAGAAAGGTTAAGTTGCAGGAAAAAAAATAGTGAGACGGTACAGGAGAGCCAGCACCCAATTAAAATCACAGGGTCACTTTCGTAGCAACCGAAACAGTGGACTGTAAGGGCCCAACTAGACAAAATGATGCAGATCCACATCTGTGTATTGTACCTCTTTATATTTCAATAAATAGACATGGGGGCTCTGAGTTGACTGCAGCTGATGAAAAGTGCCTTTGCCTGGTGCTAGTTGCCTCATTAGGAGAATGCAACATGTGTACACAGCCCCAGGGACTCTTGTTTCTATAAAGGGCAAAGAGATGAGAGCTCTTATTGTGAAACTCATCTATATAAGCATAAAGTAATAGAGGCCAGAAGGTAACCGGACTACGGCTACGTAGAGAAAAATAATTCATTAAAAGCATGTCTTAGACTACTGAATCTATTCTACTGGAAAAAGATGGATTAAAAGCAAAATGGTCCATCTTCTGTTTTATGAAAGAGCATAAACTTACTTTGTTTGATGGACATGAATTCCATGCTCAGAATAAATAACACACAAACACATTTGCAGGTTACTGTGTATAATTTTTCAGCTTGAAAGGATCAAGATTTCAAGGAAGCCTTTACTTTTTTTTATTCTCTCCTGATTTCAACTCACCCCACCCACCCACAAGAGATAGTTGTTTTAGTCTGTTGCAGCAAAAGCAAGCTTTATTTGGCTTCAGCTTTTATGGACTCTGGGCCACTTCTTCCAACATCTATCTGTGGTAGTAGGGAGAACAGAAGGTGAAATGTGAAGAAAATATAGGAGGCTCTGAGTACTGAGGGTCAATGCATGGCCATAAAGCATAGCTACTGCATTGAGGGCAACAAGAGAAATGAAGATGGCAGGTGTAATGCATAATTCATAGATCAAGGATGCAGGACAGGTGCATCCAAGCAAATATAAGCAGATTAACACCCCCCCCCCATGGGTGAAGTAGTCTTGGTTTCAGTACAGCATAATGGAAGAATAGAATCCCAGTTTGACAGATTTATGTGCATGCTCGTTCATGTATGAGGATAGGCCAAAATGAAGTAAAACCTAGCAGTAGGGTTATAATATGTCCAAATATGCATGGATGAGCTGATTTACATAAATACTGAGATAAGAAACCCCTATCTTTATTTAAGCCAGAAAGATGGAGTTGAACTTCTTGATGTATCCTTATTCAGCTGTTTCCCTTTGAAATCTGCTCCCAAAACTCTTTTGTTTATGGATAATAGTTGTGAGATTCAGAGACAGTGTCCAGTGAAATTGAAGGTATTCTCCCACTCGTTTTTGAGTGCTTCTGTTTTGTCTTCATGTATTCATTTTCTTAGAGACAGGCCCATACGTCCAAAATAAAATATTGTGAAACACTGCTGGCAAAAGATGGCATGTACAACACTGGGAGATAATAGAGTGTACAAACCCGTGATGTTGTGGATGATATTATTAAGTCCTTTAAGAGTGTTTCCTGTGTATTATGGGGGCAAGTTGGCATCTGTGTCTGCAGCACAATCTGGTTCCTGTGTCAGTCTCTCTAGCCCAAGATCTGTTGTTGGTGCTTGTGAGTCATTTTTTTCTCTCCCCAGGTTGGGTAGCAGGTATGCTTCCCACTCATAAAGACAAGGGAAGTACAGTATTCCTGTCTTGGACTGGCTGTAGATTGCTGATGCATCTGAGTGGTTGTAGCTGGGAACTGTAGTTTACAACCTATGGTGTTTTGGTGTCTTGGGTTTTTCCAGCAGACAATTGTTCCTGGATGATCCCTGTTGATCTGTTTTGGGGTTTGTTTGTTTGTTACTTCATCAGTCTGGCATTGCAGTATGAGAAATGCCTTGGTTCAGTAGAAAGTTTCTGTTTTCTGAGTTTTGAGTGCTGCCACCCCTATCAAGTGCCAAAAAGCTGAGCAAAATCTCCTTGGTCATTGAATCCACAGGCTCCAGAATAAGTGAGTTCAATCAGCTTTTATTGGCTCTTGGGAAGGTGACACAGCTCTGGCAACATCAGCATCCACTCCCTCCCTGCTTATTTGCTCACTAGGGGGCTGATTTCCAATTATTACACCCCTTCAGATAGTCCTATGTTCTCAGATCCACTAGATGCCTCCCCTACAGAAATTGAGGACCTGCCAAGGATCTCATTATCTGCCTCCATCAACCTATGGCCCAGAGGAAGCATTTGTATAGTCAAGCTGCTGCTATCCTTTGGGGTTTGCCAATCCCCTCTGCGGGTGCCACTGAACCTCATGTTGGTGAGTACTTCTTCTGGGTTGGCATTGGCTTTGGCTGTCTTGTGAGTTGTGGTGGTCTCTAGCAGCAGCTCAGGCATGACAACAGCTGGCAGAGGACCAAGTCAAAGCCCCAGTCATCACCCCTTCCCTGGAGCAGACAGAACTGCACCAAGACCCCCCCTACAAGGGTACTCAACGTAACATAACCATACATACCCCCAACAATGAAGTCTGGCTTTGGGTTCCTCCACTGCATCGCACCAAGCCTCCTTTCTCTCCAAGTCCCCTGTGGCAGTCCCAGGATATTCCTCCTCCTCTGTCACATCTGGTGCAGCCACTTCCCTTTGGGTGGTTGCTTCCACTTCTCCTAGCTTTACCTTCCCCAATGGTTGGCAGAGGCTTGGCCTTGCCTTCTTCCCCAGGTGACTCTCATCACTGGTCTTCTCGTATTCCTTACCTCCAACAGGTCTTGCAGGGGCTGCAGGGCAAGAACAGATGGCCCACCAAGGGCACCAGGGGCATATGAGTCCAAGCAGATCTTGTCGTATTGGATTTAGACAACGGACCTTGCAGTGTGTTGTGGGTGGAGGCATGTAAGTAGGCGTAGCTGTCTGTGGTTTTCTAATATAAGATGGTGTTTTTCTGTCAATTGTGTAGTTGCACAACAGACAGAACAGCTGCCTGTTATGAAGTGGGTGCCGTTGTGGGTTCCCCTTCCATTGTCTCTGTCATATTCAAAACATTTTGCTGTCATCAGATGCAGAACTGAGTGGATGGGCAAGTGCTAACTGAAGGCACAGTGAAGCAGTTACTTCAAGGAGCAGTTGTTGGGAGGCAGAAAAACCAGCCTTGCATTGGAGGACAGAGCTGTGTGCAAAGCAGACAGACGATCCTGAACCCCTGAAGCTAGCCTGCTGCTTCCAGATGCAACAAGGACATTGCCCCATCATCAGCACTGAGAAGATTTCAACTAGCTGGCTTTTTAGCATGGAGTGGGAGGAAGTACCATCTTGTTCTCTAACTGGAGCAGCCCATCCTGCACCCCTGAAGCTAGCCTGCTGCTTTCAGATGCAACAAAGACATTGCCCCATCATCAGCATTGAGAAGATTTCAACTAGCTGGCTTTTAACATGGAGTGGGAGGAGGTACCATCTTGTTCTCTAACTGGAGCAGCCAACTAGGCCTGACATTGTGACCATGCAACTGACCCTTGTGATCAAGACCTGTTTCTTCCCAACTGCACCTTCCAGTTATACTTCCCACTCCCCCCTTTCATGGGAAAAGTTCTGCTAGTGAAAGGATGCACCAATGGCCACCTTCTGCTGGCCAATAAGGCTTTTCGCTGGTATAGGGTTCTGTTCTGTCACCCCAAAGAAACTCAGGAGCACCTCTGTGCCATTCAACATCTGCAAAACACGGATAAAATTGCTTTGTTAGCATCTTACTGTGTGGCAAATATCCACATTTAAATGAACTGGAATAAGCAACTGCCTTTTCATTATAGTGCTAAAAGAAAATGACTGAACCGACTCCCAGCTCCTGCACAGCAGAGACAAGTGGTTCTCACCTTAAAAATCACATTTCTTCCCAGTTCTCCTCCTTAATAAATACATTTTCCATTTAGCAAAATGCCATATCCAGGGAAGTCTGAAGGAATTATGGGCAGCTTGCCAGCCAACACAGTCTGGGGTGGAATGTTGTCAGGTGGCAATTAAATCTCTTATCTGTTCCCTCCAGCAGTTTGTTTGTTTTCTGTGGCTCCTGGCACACATGCAAGTAAATAAGGCAACACTTGAAGAGGCAGAGCTGTGGTGTAATAAATGCAATATCTTGAAGAAAGAAGATCCAGACTTCAAGACTTCTCTTTGAGGGCAATGTCAGACTTTCAAGGGAGCATTGTAGGCCCGGGACAGTCAGATGGACTGATAGTGCTGCCATTTGTGGAACATGGAATCTCAGATTAAGCAAAGAACACTTTTTAAAAGTTAAATTTGCACTTAATAGCAACAAGAATGGATGTATCTTCGGTCACATCACTGAGGGCAGGAACAGGTATTACGAGTAAATAGCCCATGACTCTCAGGCTCTTTTGGTGCAGGCTAAAGTGGGGTTGAGTAGAGGTCTGGTATGCCATCCAGCCAGTGCAGATGCACTGCATCACTTACACAGAGATTTTTTTTAAATTGAAAAACTTCTCTCAGAAGCAGAAAGAAACAGGAGGAGGCAATAAGGGACATTCCCCCCCCCTTTTCTTTGGCGTGTCTTGAAGTGTCAGGAAACTGCCTGTTGCCAAATCTACCACCAGCTGTTAGTGGTCAACAATGTGTACAAGAGTGTGTGTGGGCTTTGCCTATTTGTATCCACACACACCCCCAACAACAACAACACTCTTTGTAGAGGGACAGTAAAAAAGGACAATAGCCATTTTTGGACTCTCCGGGTTGCTCCTCAAAATAAATAAATAAATAAAAAGCTCTGGCTTCTAGAAGCCAGCAGAAGCAGCAATTCTTCTTCAAAACAAGTTACGTCCTTCACTGCAATGAACACCTAGTTTTAAGCCCAAAAAGCATTTAAAAAATGTGTTTTGGAGTGGAGTGCGGTGAGACTAGTGTGACAAATCCCAGGGGCCAAAAATTGGCACATGGGCTAGTGAACCTTTCCCACCTCAGTCACCATTGACTACCAGCGTCCGTGCTTATCGCTCTCCACACATAGATGGCAATAAAGTACAATGAATACAAAATACAAAGGATGGAGCAGTCAATAAAACTTGATCAGACTAAAATGTCAGGAGATCTTGACACTTGTACGGATTAGATCATGCCCGTCAAAAGAGAAAGCTCTTCTCACAGCAGTTGGAAGGTCATGGGTGTGTGAGAGGAGGAAAAAAAAAACTCTTGTCCGGAAGAGCCTAGCAATAGCAAAAGCCCTCTGACTTATTTGAGGGGGGGTGTCTGTAAATTTGATACCAGCTCCCAGGGTCAACCTGGCCCCCTGCTGTTACTTCAGTTACCTGGTCAACAGAGTCAGAGTCTTTAGTATAGCTTCCTTGTTCCGAACGTGATAATTATTTTTAGTGTTTACTAAATCACATTTATGTTCCACTTTCCTCCAGCAAACTCAAGGCAGCATATATGGCTGTCCTCTTCCTTACATTGTCCTCCAAACAGTCCTATGAGGTAGATCAGACTGAGAGAGAGCGATAGGCCCGAGGTCACTCAGTCAGTTTCAGAGGCTGATATAAACTAAAACCTGTATCCAGTTCAATTCTCTACCCTGGAGTGTCCAATTTCTGGGGGGCCATTTTCTGACCTCAGGACTCTCTGGGCATCTCACAAACTATCAAAGGTTCTTCCCAATGTTGCCTTTGCAAAGATAAATTTGTCCATAGTCCAAAGCAGACTATAATAGACAGGCAAACCACCAGCCCAAAATAAGAACAGTGGTAGTTTGTAGTACTTTTACAGTGCAATATCCAACATCAAGTGGCTGCCTGGATAGCTTCGAGGTTTAGGTATCAGGCCATGGAGCCAGAGGTTGGGAGTTTGATTCCCCAGTGTGCGTCCTGGGAGTAGTGTCAGCCTCTCTGGAAAGCTGCACAGTCCCAGGCGCCCCCGGAAGAAGGGATGGTAAATCACTTCTGAGTATTTTCTATATGGAAAATCCTGAAAACAGTCACCATAAATCAGAGTTGACTTGATGGCACATTCTTATTCTTATTCAGCACTAAGCAACCTCGGTGGAGGTATTTCCTGGAAGTGTCACATACGACAGCAAAACATCCAGCAGCTCTCATCCATGATAGTTTAAAGGCTTTTTAGGGCACGCATACACATGTATGCATGCACAACCACAGAGTGTCTTCTTAGTATAATAACATTTCACTAAAGCTTAATAACCTAACCTGAGTTAAAGGGAAAATAAAGAGTATATTCGAGAATGCAAATATGCTATCTAAACAGCGATGCAAGACTTTCTCTTTGCCCTACATCTCCTTAAGGTGGCTGGCACAGCATGTCAATCTATTATATTACTTCTGATCTTTCCTTTCCATTGTTCAAACTGTTAACTGTATTTTAAATCCTACAAATGATTAATGAGATTCAAAAGATGCATAGTGGCATAACTCCACTCTAAGAGTGAACAGCAGCTCCTTTCTCCATCCCACAGTCAGCTGGCACCACATAAATGCCCTGGTACATGCATCTGAGGGTCTATAAAAAGAGAAAGAGTCACAATTGAAATCTAATGTTGTTGTGAGTTGCATATAGGAACTGATTGAAGCTTCTGAGCATGATGAAGTAATAGAAGGGCTAAATCCTTATTTATCCCCTAACAACTACTTAATCTGAGCCAACTCCAAGGATTACATGCTTTCCCTCAGTATGAGGACAGCGGATTCTAGAAGAACTGTACAAAAACAGCAAAAGGGAGATGTTTCTTTTCTAAACTCGTGCTGAAAAGAACTATTCAAAAGTCCTGCTTAAATTAACATACAAATACCTGATTTGATTCAATTATTGCTGTTCCATAAGAGGAAGAACAAATAAACAGTTATGGCTTCTTACAATACATATCATCAGTTGATACATATTTGCCTGTCCCTGAAACCAGTGTTACACAATGATTTTATATCATGGGCACAATTGGACCAAATTTAAGACATTTTGCTATTCGAGACAGAGTAGCAAATACCACCCATACACTCACATCAAGATTTATATATAACCCAAAGCTGGCCAAGTTACTTTGGCATGTACAGAAGAGAATCCAATAAACAGTTTTTCTTCTACTTGGCAGTAAAAATACAATATTAAGAAATTAAATAACTAACAATAATTTGCTATTCATTCATGGCACCTAAAACCTGCTGTGTGAGATAGTTGCTTAGCCTGCCAAATGGTAGGGCTGGTAGTGGGCACAATCTTGAACTGCACTCTCACACAACTTTCATTTATTTGTGTGAGGCTTGTGTAGTAGAGGTACAGCATCCATTAGTTGTACTTTTAAGCATCTTTAAGATTCTAGTCACCTTGTTTAAAAGAAGAACATGCTTGAAGTTCTGGTTCCCTAAAGGGTGTGGTTCTTGAAGAAATTGTTCTATCGTTGGTTGTTGTGGGTTTTTCGGGCTCTTTGGCCGTGTTCTGAAGGTTGTTCTTCCTAACGTTTCGCCCGTCTCTGTGGCCGGCATCTTCAGAAGACAGAAGTCTGTCCTCTGAAGTGCTGTCCTCTGAAGGGTGCTGTCCTCTGAAGATGCGAAACGTTAGGAAAAACAACCTTCAGAACATGGCCAAAGAGCCCGAAAAACCCACACATTCTTTTAAAATTTTATCTATGTTCAGTGTAGCATGAAGTGTCTTGCATACACAAAGCACATGAGAGAGAAGTACCAAGACATCGATACTGCCATACTGTATAGTAGTAGTTTCTTTTCAAGAGCATAACCAATTCTAAATTTGTTTGTTTGTTTGTTTTTGTTTAAAATATTGTTACCCTGCTTTTCTCCTTAAGAAGAATCCAGGGTGGCTTACAACAATTAAAAGACAATATTTAAAGCTAAAAACAGTAAGTATACAAATACTTAAAAGGATCAACATATACCATACTAAAAGACAACAAACAAAAGCAACACCAAAACCACATTCAAAGCGGTGAGGCATAACCATTGATTTAAAAGCCCCACTCAGGTAGCCAGACTGTGAGCTCTGATATGTACATGTTAAAACACGTGCATATCAAATGTGCATTTTATACATGCAAGCTGAATACACAGCAGCCAACTTTTCAATTGTAGATAAGAAGTCTTTGGCTCTCCAGTTACTTTGACGCAAGCTGAACACACACCAGCCAACTTTTCAACTGTAGAAGTCTTTGGCTCTCCAGTTACTTTGACCTACAACTCCCCATTATCCCCATCCACCATGGCCAATAGCAAAAGACTGATTACGTTATCATCTTTAGAACATCTGAAAATACAACATTTGCCCTTCTCCTCTTTTAGACTTTGA